TCAAGATTATCAAAAGGACATACGATTATGACCAGCATCTTTTTATTACTTTTTTTGATTTTATCGATACATCCGATAGCAGTGAACGTCTTACCTGTTCCCGTGGCCATTTCAAATATTCCCTGATTGTCATTTTCTATCCAATTCCGTACCGCTTCTTTTTGATACTGACGTAGTCTTGGAATGTTTGTTAATTTTATCTCTGATTTTGATTTTGGTGCAATCTTGATTAGATTGCACTTTACGGCATCTGGCAAAGGTATTGTCTTCCAAGAGATTTCTCCATGCGACTCTCGTCCCTCCCAGTACTGCTCAAATTCTTCAAAATCTTTTTCCAAATACTTGTTTTCACTAACATCTGCACCCCTATACACACGAAATCGATAGTACTCGCCCAACAATTCATCGTCAAAATTTACATTGCCGGAAAAAGATACTGTGTTGTTGTCTTCGTCCCAAAATATTCCAGTTGTTTGTTTGAAGATTTGACTTCTTTGTAGTGTAGTGTATGAAATTACGGAACCGTTATGATTGACAGGTACAACAATGCGGATTTCCAAGTTGCCATTTGCAAGCATCCATGCAAGGGCTTTGGTATGATCCTGTACGAATTTTTCCCGTATCTCATAGAACTCTCTTATCCAGCATTCGGAGATGACCTCATCAGTGTTTTTGACGCCATTGTTTATGGAATCTGCATCTCTTTCATTAAATTCCGGCATTAAGACGAGCTTCATTATACCGTCGTTTTGAATAAATTCTTGTAGGCCTTCTGCACATAGTGCAAAATTCTTGGATGAGAATCCCCCTCCCATCCTATAGTACATCTTTGTTGATTTCAGGACCTTGTTAAAAAATTCATCATAGACATTATCAGTCAAAGAATCGTAATCGGATTTTAGTTCTAAATTCTTAAAATTCATTTTTATTCATTCCTGCCATATGGAATTTAATATTTTTCATAGCAAGCTTGTGTTCTTTGTACATTGTAAGGTTTCTTATGCGCTTTCCACCCCTATCAATTATTGTTTTTCTGTCTGCGTCTATCCCAATTATTTTGTAATCAAACTCTACATGGTGAGTGGGGCACAGAACAAGCATACTAGTAAAGTTGTCATCTCCGGCGTCCTTTAATGGATGTATATGATGCACTTCACTATATTTTGCCTTGTTAGTGATCTGTATGGCGTATCCGCACACTTGGCATTTGTTGCCATATTTTTTCTTGAGCTGTCTAACTTTTTTTGTATCGCGTATAAATCTGGTGACTACTTCAGATTTTCTTGCAGATGGACCATCTTTGTTGTTATACTCTATTATGATTCCAGTCGTATTCTCCGAATGTGTCAGAACGATATCCAGCATTTTGTTTTTAGAAAGATATACACCATCAGACGTACACTGTGGTAATAACTTCCTAGTATTCTCGCATGATTTCGTGAAAATGGCTTTGATATGTCTTCTGTGGATGAGAATAGAATTAAGCAGTCGTGTAGGAGAACTCTAGGCGATATCCCCCAAAGTTTGGTTGCAATGTCACGACTCTGCACTAAAGGGTTTGTATACTGGTCTCGATAGTAGGATACATTCAGCGTTAAGCGACGCGAAATAATTACCCGTCCCTTCTCGTATTGTAGACCACAGATCGTAATGTTTATGCGAGTTTAGGGCCCATATGTTGGATGCATGTAGAGTGTCTTTGATGGACTGTAGTATGTCTTGATGATGTTGTATCTTAAACTGTCTGAATCGCTCTTCGTCTCTTTTGCCCACAATTACAATAAAATCTCTGGTTGTGCTAGGATGCTGGGATAGTTTCCACAACCCAAACCTCTTGTGCGCATTCCAGTCCTGTATGGTTCCGTTTACTCTGAGTATGCTGATAATCCTAGCAGTTTTGACAGATATACTTCGCGACGCGTATTTTACAGCGTCTATTTCCAGATACCGTATCACAAAATTAACTAGATCTCTTTTGTTGTGCCATACGGGTTCATCTCGATACACTTGCTGTGCTTTGTCGCCAGTGTATTTTCTACTGCGTTCGTTCTCGATGTCAGTAATAGACTTGCCTGTTTGCTCTAAACACATGAGAACTGCCTCAAATACAGATGATTCGGATATTGTATTGCGGGTCATGATATACTCCAGTATTTTTTACGATCATCGATAACATCTCAACTGTTGATTTTTCTAAGCTTCTTTGCCCCATCTAATATCCTCCATGCCCCAAACTCAGAGCAGGTCTCATCAGTATACCGACCAAGTCCAATCTGGATTGACGAGTATGCACGCTTCTCCTCGTATCTGAGCGCCATAATGACGTGCGAGGGTTTCACGCTTTGTGCGATACATACAGAATCTGAAAATATTGTAATCCTGTCAGAGATCAAGTTGGTTATGGCCTTACCATATATTCCCTGATAGCAGACGTTAAGATTTCCTGCAAGCCTGTATTTGTCGTCGCCGTTTAACAACACCTCTTTCTCCTGCAGTATGTCAAGTATTCTCATAGCCTGTCTCGTGATCTGAACCCCTCTTTTTGACGCCACTTTTTGCATACTTTTCCGGATGATTTTATCCCCATTTATTCCCACCCTCCAATTGAGGATCCACAAACACTACGTAAAGTAACATCTTCAGATAATTCAACAAGATGTGTTAGTATAAAAAAAGAAATCAAGGGTAGCATTCTTGCAATAATCTGGATAACCTAAGTCATATACTTCTAACTCACTTTGAGCCCAATACATGTTTTTTTCACGTCCAAGGATTTGTGCTACCGTATAGAATCCATGTAAGTTTTTTTCAATAGTGTTGTTTCCAAATAATGCTGCTTCTCTTATTTTTCTGGATATCTCCAATGCTTGATCAAGTTCTGTTTGTACAACCATATCAATCAACCATTAATCTTGGAAATAGCTCTGACTGCATCAACTATAGTTTGTGCCCCAAACTTTGCATCGTCTCTGTTAGTATATCTTCCAAGTCCTATTCTAATGGAGCTATGAGCTCGCTGTTCCCCATACCCCAAAGCCATTATCACGTGGGAGGGCTCTACACTCTTGGTAGTGCATGCTGACCCGGCAGATATTGCAAGGGATTCAGAGACCGAATTGATTATCGCCTTTCCCTCAATTTCAGGATAGCAGACATTGATGTTTCCTGCAAGACGGTTGTTCCAATCTCCGTTAAGTAACGCACCTTCTTTTTGTAATGTATCCAGCATCATATTAGACAATTTTTTCAATCTCTGATTTTCCTCTTCCATTTTGTCTATTGCAATTGTAACAGCCTTTCCAAACCCTACAATTCCTGGAACGTTCAACGTTCCTGACCGCAGGCCTCTCTCTTGGCCTCCACCGTATGCTATCTCCTTTAGGCCCACATGAGGCCTTATTCCGCGTACATACAGTGCCCCTACACCTTTTGGACCATACATCTTGTGTGCAGAAACGACATCAAGTCAATATTCATATCATTGACATCAATTGGTATGTTTCCTACCGCTTGTGCGGCATCAGTATGAAAAAATATATTTTGTTATGGGCAATCTCACCGATCTTCTTGATATCAGGTATGACACCGATCTCATTGTTTGCAGCCATGACTGATATCATTACAGTCTTATCTGTGATGGCAGACTCTAGTTCCCCGATATCAATTCGTCCAAGATCATCTACAGAAATATACGTCACATGCTTACCAATAGATTCAAGGTATTTGACAGTCTCCAAAACGGCTTCGTGTTCTGTGACACATGTAATTATATGATCACCTCTATCCTTGTATTTTTCTGCAACACCACGTATTGCCAAATTGTCAGATTCTGTAGCCCCTGATGTAAAGATGATCTCATCTGTCTTTGCACCTATCGCCCTTGCAACATCCCCTCGGGCAGATTCCACTGCAGCGGATGCCTCACTGCCGTGTCTATGGTCAGTGCTGGAGGCATTGCCGAATTTGTCCAAAAAGTACGGCTTCATTGCATCAAACACTTGCAAGTCAAGTGGCGTTGTTGCATTATGGTCAAGATATATCACACGTTTTAGATCGCGCAATTTACCGCTCCTGTGCAATCATCTCATCAAAGTCAGAGATATCATTAATTCGTGCGGACAGCGCAATAACTCCACGATTAAAGTGGGCCCGAAGCATCTTGTTAAGATAGATCTCAGGATCAAGTCCGTCTCTCCTTAACCTCTGAATCATCAGTGCCATGAATATGTCATCGTACTCCCCAAACAACACGGAGGGGTGAATCTCAGAGCCCTGTTCGTCGAACTCCTCAGGATTTGGGGGCGAGGGGTCTTTAAGCGAGAGGCATATTGCAAACCTGCCTGTAATGTTTGGCGTGAGTCCTGTCTTTCTTTTTATCATGCCCAGATTGTTCTGAGAGCGATAACTCATCTTGAGCCTGTTAAAGCGCAACAATTTTTTCTCCTTTCTTGTTCCAGAAATAACCGGTGTGTTTTTTCGTAGTACCTTTCTCAGGCAGATACTCCATTGCATAAGAGCGCATCAAATACGGCTCCAGTTTTTTGTAATGCTCATACTCTATCTCTTTATCTGTGGAAAATAACAGTACCTGGTGGGATGCAAATGGAAGGAATTTTTCTACAATATTTGTTCTGTGGCCCTCATCGAGCCGCGCAAGCGGAGTGTCTATCATAAATGGCAGCGGCCTGCTAGAGGTTTTGGCCAGTGCCCACAATACAGATGTTGCAAACATCTGTTTTTCCCCTTCAGACAAAAGGTCTTTTGGCAGGAGATCATTGTTTTTACGAAATAATGTTATCTCAAATGTATCTGGATTCACTACAACTTTTTCTATAAAGTTAGTCTTGTGCAACAATGTATGTAATGCATCTAACAGATACTCCTCCAAGAGTCGTATCTTTTTTATCTTTAATTTTTCAACAAATTCCTCTAAGACTAGTTGTACATTTTGTGTCAAATCCACCTTTATCTTTGCCTTCTCATCACGGTACATCTGCGATACAATATTGCGTAGTTTGACATCTATGTGGCGCTGCATCGAAGCATTGCTAGATATACTTTCTTCAATATGGTTCATCTCTGCCTTGAGTTCACCTTCTGATTTGTTAATCTCTGCTAGTTTTGATACAAGCGGGCCTATTTCATCATTGTCCGGAGCACTTGTAACAAGTTTCTGCATCTTGGCAATATCATCACTTATTACAATAATTTTTTGTGTCTCCTCTCTGAACTCTTTTAATGCAATTGTGTTTGTTTTTTGAATGATATCTAAAATTCTAGATGCTTGTTGGATGGAAAATCCAAACACGGTCTCTTCGGCAGATGAGCTTTGTTTATTTGCAAGCAGCAAAGATATCTTTTGTCGTATCTTTTTGTGTGTCTTTTTTTCTAGATCAAAATCTTTCCAAAATTCCATCTTTTTGAGGTGGTTATCCACGTCTTTGATCTGTGCTTGTATTATTTTTTCCTCGATTTTGCGCTGCTGAACTGACTCGTCACGTTTTATCTGCTCTGCAAGATTTGCAAGTTCTGTAGGAATCAGGCTGAATGGAAGTACGCCTGCACACATGTCCTGCATTCTTTTTTTGATATTGTCGTACGAGGCAGTACTGACTGCCAGTCTTGTTTTTACATCGTCTCTTGCATCTGCAAATCCGCCTCCTATCTAGATATCTTGGCCTCGAGTGCTTCTGCATCCATATGTATTGCATCCAGCGTGTTTTGTTTTGTGCTAATCGCTCTTCTAGTCGCTGTGTGAGGGCAGTATGCTCGTCTTTTTCCGCGTTGTATTTATCAAAATCCCGTTGTAGCGATTTACTGTCTACGGTAAGATTACGCATCAGATTAACTTGCAAGTCAGCACGAAGTTGTTCTACTATCTCTATCCCTAAAAGTGACTTGAACGACTCTTTTATGGCAAGGTCTTCCCTGCCTTCTTTTGCAATTCCCACTATCTTTTCACCATCAAAGAAGAAAAGCTTGACTATGCCCTTTGGAATCAAGTCATCGATGAATGATTGCCACTGTGACTCCTCTACGTTATCAAGTGGTTTGAACTCGTCTTTATCGGAATATCTTTTTTTTATGATCAGTTGCTCGTCTATATGGCTTTGAGTGCCGCTCCAGGTTCTGTCAATTCTGTATTCGGTTTCTTTTCCACTATGAAAAAACTTGAACTGCACCACAATGGATGCAAAGTCGGCAGATGTGGCACTTCCCAGATACCGATGGATTTTTCTTGCCAAGAATTTTTCATATGCTTTTTGCGTGGTTCTTTTTCCCATAACGGATATTCCGTAAAGTCCCAGCATGATGGACTCAAAGAGTGTGGGTTTTTCCCGCCCCGTTTGTTCCGCCAATCAATACAACAGGTTTCTCAGAGGTGCATGTAAAATCAAACTCATTTTTGCCCTTGTACACGCCATAATCCTGAAGTATGACTTTGGTCAGGATCATTTGCCATACTCCTTTGTCATATTTTTTTGATGCTGCAGGTCTTCAACTATTGCATCAAGGTCGTCGCGCCATTCCTCAGAGAGTATGCCGTTTATCTTTGGATATATCTTTGAGTGTCTGATCATTCCCTGGGACTCGTATTCTGCGTTTAGCAGTTTGGACACCAGCAGATGAGGCACGTTATTTTTTGTGCAGATCTCCTCAAGTGTGTCTTGTTCAATCTGCCCAAAGCCTGTTAGATCTTCTTGCGGCAGTTCTAGTTTCTGACCCGTGACTTTTTCAAATATCTGATATGCCGTATTCTTCCAGTCCCCACGCTCCATCCGCCATATTCTCTGTATCTCATGCAGTTCGGCCTCAGAGATAAGGTCCATGTGCGGGTCAGGACCGTTCTGTCTGACCTTTTTTTGTGCAAGCAAGAGTTTTTCCAGAAACTCGATACAAAATTCCAGCGTGTAGGGACCGGGCACGAGGACCGAGTATGGGTCGGGTTTCTCGTCTTTGTTGTCTTGGAGTTGCATCTTTGATTTGAGTATTTTTTTGTCAAATCCTGCCTTGCGGTCGTCACTTACAAGCTTCATCTGCCCAATGCGTCGTTTTAGGTCTCTGACATGCCTTCTCTTTGCAGGGTCCTGGGTCTCTTTGAGTTCCTCGCGTAACTCTAGTAGTGGCTCCATCCACTCCTCCCCGTTCTCAATTGTGTTTTTCAGCGAGGAATCTTCGTTGACAACTGTGCATGTCCAGCATCCGAACCTGCTGTTGCCGCACGACGGAGTGCTGGTATCAACTACCAACGGGCATTCTGATGCATTTGCATTTTGATACAAAGTTAAGAGATCACGATTGTTCGAACCCCAGGGGTTTTTGTTCTGTAACAGATAATTCCATACGTCTTCTGTGATAAAATCCCTTAACGGTGTATAGACATACGTTTGTGGGAATTTTGAATGGCGTGAGAGCAGGCTGTCTTTTATTTCGTACAGGTTCATTAGTTGTTGGCGCGAACCGCTCTCATCTTTGCGCGTTCCAAGAACTACGATTGCCTCGCCGTATTGAGATATTTTTTCCTGAATGAACCTGTCAGCATTTCTTATCTTTAATCGTTCAGTACACCATCTGAACATGTTAGAGGGTGCAGGAAATCCCTTTCCCAAAAGACATACCCAGAATGTATCCTCAATTACCGGTTGAACAAGGTTTGTAGAGATTGGAAGATGTGTCTTGTCTGCAAATTTTTCCATAGAATCCAGCGTATTGGTGATTTGTTCAACTACTTTTGGCGACTCTACGAGAGTGTCAGATGAGATTATGAATATTTTTTTGTGTATCTTTTCGTTTGGAAGATCAGATAACGCATTCCAGATTAACTGAACCATGCATGTGGAATCTTTCCCACCACTAAAACCCAGAATCCACGGTCTGTTGTCTCCAAGATAGACTTTGCGTATTTCATCGTAAATGGATTTTAACGTGCGTGTTTTAAAGATGGATTCTGCGTTCATCTGTGAACTACCTCATCTACTATCACATTTATGCCCAGATGGGATAAAATTTCATTGGCTGCCCGCTTAATTCCCAGCCTGTTTTTGAGCATTTTGCCATCCATAACCACCTTGTTTTGCCATATTGGACTGTTGCGTCTCCAATCAATTTTTTGCAAGCCCTTTATCTTGTCTTTCCAATCCTGGCGCTGTGTGATAATGTGTCCTGCTATTCCAAGGGCCGATAAGATATTTGTGTGTGCATGGACATAGTTTTGACGAAGATCATAGGGCGACATCTTTTTTTGCATTAACAGATTCCATTCCGGAATATTTGTAGATATCTTGTTCCAGTACTCTACTACCAGTTTTTGTTTCTCTGCAGATATTGATTTGGTTTTCAATTGTAAGAGATATTTTGTTGCTTCAGCTATTCCGTTCAATGTGAAAAAGTTAGTTGAACGGTTTGAGATGTTTGTACGCTCCATTTCTGTTCGCCCATAAAACACGTCAACATCATTTGCTAAATTTACTATAAATCTAGCATATGTATCTCGATGGTCATATAACAAGCCAAGGGACCTTGTAGGTTTTATTGCATGCTTGTTGAGATCAGCGAACATCTGCTGACTACGTTTCAATCCTCTGTCCTCAAAAACCACGACGGAAATTTTTTCGTTTGCAAGCGATGGTTTTTGTGCATATGCAGACATTATTGCAGCACATCTATGCTGGCCGTCATTTACTAAGATTTGTGAAGCGTGCGGAATCGTAAGCGTTCCAATCTTACTATCTGCCCACATCCCGGTGCAGGGTTGAAATGAATTTTGTTTCCAACAGAGATTGTAATTGATGAAAAGATATAGTTGTCAGAATTATCAATGATGTAATTTGCAATATAAGGAATACGTGATTTTCTTAATTTTCGCTGGGCTTTTATCTTTGGATCAAGTCGGGGGTCTTCATTGAATTTGAAGTTAGTGTCTATTGTGGCAAATGTGCACATTATACAGTAAAACTCTCTTTTTCCTTGATTGCCGCGTATTGCGTCAAATGTCATACCTTCTGTTGATTTTCGTTTATTTTGCATAATTTTATTCCTGCTAGTCTACTGAATATTATAAAACTTGGTAATAAATACCGGGTAACTATGTTATTCTAACTTGCTTTGGAAGCACGTTATAATATTAGTATGATTGCAACCTATTAGTATCCAGATTTAACCCAAGGTTATGCACGATTTTATGTGCAGTTATATGGTTTTACACCCATATCATGACTTGAGTATATACATATAATTTAATATTAAAAATTTATTCAAGCGGCAATAAAAGAAATGTGCCTGTAGTTATTCATCATAAAGACATGAACAAAATCTATCAATTTACAACTTTTTTACATGGCAAAAGTTGAGAACAATATAGTAAAATTTCACAGCATGTGCAAAGTAACAATGCAGCAAATTCCTGCAAAAACCAATAGTTAACAAGCATGTTGTTCTGTTTATCTAAAAACAGTTCTCTAAAAAATAATTGGGCCTATTACTGAGAATTTCCATGAAAATTTTACTGAAAACATATTTGCGGCGTTATTTTCAATCGTAGGATTGATTGCTTGCATATTTAACACTACGAAAAATAATTTAGCAAAGCATGTTTTTTATTTTGAATCAATAATGCTATCTTTTAGCAATTCATTATTGCTATTTACCAGTAATTTTCTTTTCCATTTTAGATATCTAGGGTCTGGAGGATATTTTGCGTTATTTTTGATACGAATCTCTGGATGGATGAAATCAATCCATGATTTTATAGTCGGGTTGCTTTGTTCTTGTAAATGTTCAGATATTACTATGCCTAGGTCTTCATCTACCTTTATAGAACCACGCTCAAATGCAACATCGCATAGCTTACACAACAGTAGACCATTAACAGGATTCATGGAATTATCCGCATCTTTTCTTCTCATCTCAAAGTATGGCACAATGTGTGCACCGATCAAATATTCTGGAAGACGAAATCCGCAAAATACACATTTATTGTATTCGTATAAAAGTACAGAACGGAAAGCGTTTTGTTTCTGCCGTACAAATATCATGCTTGGCGAGCCACTACAATGATAGTTATTGTTCTTGATCTCTTTTTTGGTATGCTCGTACACAAATGTGTTAAGTTTGGTCTTGTCTAATCGCCACACACCCATACCGGTATCTTTAGCAGGGATGCGCCTGTCCCCAGTCTATGATGATTCCCTTCCTTCTGAGTCTTCCGACCTCATTTGCAATAGCTTTGTAGAGCTTATTTTTCCCCTTGTCTTTTCCATAGTCGTCTAAATTCAGACCAAGTGATCTTGCTACAAATTCATCCAGATTGGACTTGTTATGCCATATTGGTTTCTCTTTAAGTTCCTGATTAGTATAATCACCTAGCATGCCTTTTTTCCCATCTGTTTTTATTTGAGAGATAGGCCTGCCAATTTGATTTAGGCCGTCCCAGACAAATTTTTGGAGATCGTTGAACTCAGGATTGACAATGTATTGATGCGGTTTGCTCATTTACCGTATTTTTTGTCTTGAATGATTAATAGATTGCTGTAAATTAGATTATTTGTGCAGTTTGTGCGTCAGACAAGTATTTGTTAGAGATAAGGCAGATAGTTAAACAGATACTCAAACATGGGATTTTTTCAAAACCGGCAAAATTTTTAGAAATATGCGTGCAATTATACGCAGTCAGTACGGGTATGAACAAGACATGGCATACGTAAAGACACAAACAGCTGAAAATCCTCAAAAGACACAGAGCAAACAATAAAAATCCAAAATTACATTCATTTTTATTCATACCAAAAACTTTTGTCAAGACTTGACACGACATACAGATGTCTTTGCGGCAGGGCCACACATGTAGTACATGATACATTTACAAGAGAAAAAATATGCAAAAAATGCTGGTTTGTAGTTTCCTCTGACACCAGAGTGCAACGAAATCTTATACGTCTCAAACGTACGGATTCCAGCCAAGAAGAATTGGATATTATTGTCGCTTTCTGCAGTACAAATGGAAGGTGTTTTGCAAATTTTTTCCTGCGGTGTCAAAATAGTTTAGAATATTGTGATACTAGTATAAAGTAATGAGAATTCTGCAAAAGAAACTGCCTATGAGAATCTCTTGAACTGATTAAAACCTAATGACCCCAACAGGTTGACAATTTGCCTCATTTGTTCCACTGCCAATTCATGCTCTGTTTCAAGAATTAGTTGAAAGATCTTTTCAAAATGATCTAGCATGGTATACATATTTGTGTTGTTTGGAATGTAATAATGAGTAATCTTTTCTATACATTTGATCGTCTCTAACGGATAGTCTTTGGCCAATAATTCCAATTCCTCTGGAATCCAATACATTGGAGCGATTTCACCGTTTGTTTCGTCAAGAATTGAATTCAATAGATCTATGCGTTCCTGCTTATCCATTAATGAGTTAAAAAACAGCCATCCTGAATTGGGATTTGACTTGATCTGTGGGTATGATGTAAGCTTATAAATATCGATTTGTGGAATTTTTGTTTTATCATCCCGATCTTTTAAACCTCTTCCGATCCGCGTAATGCAATCTGTCAATAATGAGGGAACATCTTTCTTGAGAAAAGCTTCAAGCAATTTATCGCTTCTATCAAGATTATTTAGATAAGTTACTCCAATATGTTCTGCCAGTATTTTCTGTGATTCTTTGAATTTTGAATTCTCTGACATTCTACCAATTCTGTAAATATATTCATCAAATAAGACACTAAAGCTCTCTGGAAAAATTGTTTGGCGAAGATACGCATCCCATGCAGCATTTCCGACATTCGTATTTTGCTCATCATGTGCAAATATCGTATCAATATGCGATCTTGTCCATTTTTCATCCAATGCCAACAAATTACGAAAAGAGTATCCCAATACTGCATGAACAGAGACGGATTGTGGCTGCCCGGTATTCAATAATGAATTTAGAATAGATTTTACCTCTGGAACAAGCTCTGTAGGGGCACCTCCCAATTTCTTTAGCTCAACGTTACACCAACTTGAATAGCATGCTATTGTATGCATGATCATTCCTACGTTATTATTGATAGATATCTCATACGCGTTAAAATTCTTGTCGGGATAATCTTCAGACCAATCAGCATCTGGAGGCGTGATCATTAAGGATCTTTCCAATATGTTCCAAACCTTGCCACGCAATCTAAATGGAATTCTATTTGTATTGGATGTTAAATTATTTTGCAATAAATAGCAGCAATAGTACATAACATTCTCTTCTTTTAGGGGCGATTGTAAAACAGATTTGCAAAATGTGAGAACAGACTCCCAATCTAATTCCTGATCTTTAGTTTTTGATAATGCCTCTAGAAATCGATAATGGAACAAGCTGTGGCACGGCAGAAGCTCATTTGAGCGTTTTGAATAGCCTACAGGATTTTTTTCTATTATCTGTTCAAACATCCTGTCATTGCCGTCTTCTTCGAGGAAAAATCCTTGTGGCATCTTGTAGGATTTCAAGAATTTTATTACTTCGTCAATTGACATATCCATAGACAGATCCGATGAATATGTTGCATAAGAAGGAGGTTCACGCCAAACAGAAAATTCAGTAGAGTCGGATATTCCGTATTCTTGTACCAGATAATCATACTCTTTCAGAAATTCTGGAAGGTACTCTATTATGGGAGACAGTTTTTCTATTCGCCAATGTTTCTTATATGTCTCAAAATCTATTTCGTGGCCCCTGTATTTATCAAAATCAGGTCCTTTGTCTATTAATGCTAGCAATGCTTCTTTGTTATTTTCTTGTAGATATGGATAGCCAGATTTTAGCATGCGGAAATACTCATGTGTAAAATTTGCATTATCAAAATACTCTATGCATAGTTGGTTTATTTCTCTTACAAACTCTGTTGGATGTTTTCCATAAAAATAAATTTCAAGCCTACGGAAAATATAGTAATTGTGTTCTGCAAGAATTTTCAGCGATGTTTTAAGATTCGAAATTCCAATATCTTTAGATGCTTCTAATGTCTTGCGTATTTCTGTGACCAACAGGGATTTTATGGATTCGTCTCCGTTTTGCCAGTGATCTTCGATAGCAGGCCTCCAAACAAAAGATGTGTCCATATTCTGATCTGTTTTTGGAACGTTTGATGCTTTTTTATCTAGGTAAATCCTCTTTGATAGTTTTCTGGATAGTATATTAATAATTGAGTCATGATCTCTGGCAACAAAAATAGGTAATTCTTTTTTCAGAATTTGCTCATAGTAGTATGGATCTATGTATGTGTCTTTATTGTTATAGGGGTCTTTCAAATTTTTAGAATGTACGTCTAATAGAACTTCACAGAGTTTAAGAGAGGTTTCAAATTCTTCCTCTACAAGACTTTTCATTAGGTTTACAAGACTCTGTTCAAGTAATAAAACTGAAATAACATCGTGCCATTTTTCCTTGATTGCTTTTTCGGCTATTTTTCTTGCATATTTGGGAGGCATCTTGGCGGCTGCACAGACAAAATTGTCTAACACCGTATGATTTTTTTCCAATTTGCATTTTGGAACATCAATTTTTAAAATAATCTTCTGCACCATTTCCGGCTTTTCTGCTGCAATTCTCTCCAAATAATATGATTCTGGCCACGAAGGAGTTCTGAAAAGTTTTTCCTCTTCGGTTACTTTTGGAACATTTTTAAAATATTCTCCATTTTCGTATAAAACCTCCAACCAGTTGCTTTTTGCATGTATAAAGAAATAATGATATGTTTGTAGGTTTTTTGCCATCATAAATTCAAGATTGTTTAAATCCTCCCCTGTAGGCTCGGTTATTTTCAGTATCTTGTCTATCTGTTTTTCTATTTCATAATGTGGGGCTAGCAAATGATTCATGATGGAAGTAAATTCTTCTAATTTGGTTTGATATTCCTGTTCTGATGGGGAGTGTCCATGATGTGATACACCGGTAAACCAACCGTGAAGAGCATGTAGTTGTTTGTGTGGCAGTAAAAGATGTTTGGGCAAACTGTCTTGAGGATTGCTTAGTTTTTGAATTTTCTGTATATGTTCTAATTTTTCCATTTCGGGCGGTATGATTTTTGGATCTTGGAATGCAACATTTAATGTCTCTCTGATGGAGTGTGCAGATTGTGCAATTCTGTCAAAATTTTCTTGGCTATGTTTTTTTGAATCTATACCTATATTTTTAGAATTCTCATCTATTATTTTGATTTCTAAATCATGATCAGAAACACGTGTTTGCGATGGGTTTTTTTGACGGAAAACAAACAATGCCGAATAATATATTTTTCCGACGTCGGGATTTTTTTTAGCTAATCTCTCAAGTAGCTTTTTTTCATCATTAGAAAAGGAAACACTCATTTTTTAAGATGGGAATTGTGTTAATATATTCCTGTAATGGATGCTCTCTGACAAACACAAGTAGATATAATTTATCTAACTCAAAATATATCGATATTGTGGACTTGTCAAGAAATTGCTACATAAGAACGATCACAGGATAGATTTTGTAGTCCTGGCATCCACGCCGATGTGCAGTTTTATGAATCCCTGTCCGGCACTCCATTTTTCTGTCGTCCAATCGCCATATGTTGTAGGTTTGAGTCCGATGACATTAAAGGAAACGAATTTATCTTGATTTTTATGCCTACCATCTGAGAACTATGCGATGGCAATGTTGCCACTGCCACTTTCGTCAAAAGATTAGTAGAGTTTTGTTATCTTCTTTTGAAATACCAAGTATATAGGCGCATTTGCCTTACCGATTATCGTCTTTGCAACCCTGAAACTGCCTATATCTAATGTGGCGGCGTTTAGGAACAGGAATGCCGCTGTAAAACATGTGTTTGAAAAAACATACCATCAGCGCAGCATAGTGGAATCGGTGTTCTCGTCATTCAAGTGCAGATTTACTACGGTTGTTCGCGCAAAGAAACTGGCAACACAAAGACTGCAGTTACTCTTCAGGTGCGTTTGCTACAACCTGCGGTCATAGTGGAACGACGTAAAAAATACGTGTCATGTGTCTGGCGTATGCTGTATAACCCTGTAACGTTTCGGTACAAGATACACCGCATCATATCCTACCACGGGAAAATTCCAATACATACAAGAAATCAAAAGCAATTAAGTGTAGATAGAGGGACATCAAACAGGCCTGAAAAACTAAAATTTAGATACGCTGCGCAAAGCAATCGCCATATATACGAGGTACACAAAATCCAATCTCGATGTTGAAAAGATTTTGCAGAGTCATTCGAGAGATTACAGAATTCTGCACAGAGTGCAACTAGCGCAAGATATGCGTGAAATGTCCTGTACAGATTGAAACACGGAACCTGTTGATCTCATTCCCGTGATCAAGACATGTTGAGTGCATTATACTATCAAAGTCAATTCGTCAGTGGAAAATATTATACTAATTTTTCATCTTTGATATAGATGCCTGTTTGTGAGGACATTTGCTAACACAGAGCCGTAAAATGACACTGAATGTCTTCAATTTGATAGCGTTCATAGCTTTTAATGTGTATTAAAAATTTTCACGCTCCATGTCAGTACGAGAATGGGTTGTTGTGGGTGTTAGGCCTTGCAGTTGCTTTTTCGACCATTGACAGCTTTTATAATGATCCACTAGCAAAACTCACAGTCCATGGACGACAATGGGGTGATTCCCAGTCTTCCCCTGGACCTTGGAGACTTCCTCTATGACAGAGACCATGGCATTCACATCCCCACGCCACTGGTAGTCTGAGCTCCACTCTGGGATGTGGAACTGCCACACCTGACACACCTGATTGGCTGTGGCAAACTGCAAGTTCAAATCAATTACTGCATGTATTGCACAGTGTAAAGAGCACGAACTCAACTCCCCTTCATCTTTTTTTGCTAACCTTGGCCTGCTGGACAGAGAAGTTTCTGAATAAAAATCCACTCTTCCACCCCTCACTGAGCAGCTCTACTCTGAACTCCCCATACGTCTGTGCTCTCTTCCCAGGCCAGTACTGGTAGCACACCTCCTGGTATACCACAAACGATTACACATCACCTCTTAATGAAACACAACTCTCAAGCTAAACCTAGAGTTTACAGTACACCATTGAGTGGGGCAGATTCAGTGGATTGTGGCTTGATGTTTGATCTTTGATCTTTCACTTCACAAGAAGAAGTTTACGAGCTTAGTACAATCAAATATAGTCTATTACAGAGGTTAAAACATATCACCATCATATATGTATAGGTTATACGATGGCGGCGCGTGGTCTACTGGTTGTACACGAGTGGCCAGTTTTGATAGGGCACGAGGGCGTAGCCCGAGTGGTCTATCAAAACTGAAGCCACGAGTGTGCAATCAGTAGACCACAAGCCAATGCCATCGTATAACGTGTTTGTATGATGACATCCGGCGGTAAGGCTCTGACCAATGAGATTGCGCAAAAGCTTTCAAAGCGCCCTCTTTTTAACGCACACCCTCGAGTGTACGGACGGAGAGAGCTATAGCTAGCTAGCAATCGATCGGGAGAAAGACAGCTGCGATAAAGCGCTATAATTTAGTCAAACTGCAGAAGCCATGGTCATTTCTCGAGAGTTCAACGTTACAGGTATATACGTCAAAGCTATACTTTTTCGCTGCTAGATTCCACACGAGTTTTGTAGCTGCCGCTCTGGCTCGCTTTCTCTCCCAGCATTCTCGAATGCATCCTGTTGCAGTAGCAAGAAAGCTGAAAGTCACCGAATACTGTTTCAGTCCACGGGAGCCTACGCGTCGGGAAAAGCAGCTTTCGCTAGTTTTCAGACCGTGTATATAAGACTAGAGCAGTTTCTAGCCTGAAAACACTCCCTTCTGGTAAAGAAACAGCAGCACACAAACAGTGTAAAAGCATTCCACGCTGCCAATTTCCTACTATCGTCTAACTCCTGTAGACCCACTGTGGTTTATGCAAATGAGTTGACATACAGCTAAAGTATGGGGAAATTGTATGGCCTCTTTATGTTCTAAATACCCGTAGACTGAGCAGGAAGCGCCTACTACGCATTACGTTGTTTGGACTAGCTGGAATTCCTTTGATCTTACTCTCAGTCATCATACAAAAGTGCGTCACCTCCACTTTGAAATGTAAAGCTGAAAGTATACAACAACAGTACCACCATTAAAACATCATCAGACTGCACAAAGACTGAGGAGGAGCATTTATATCGAAATGTTTGCATGGAGGGCTTAAAGTAGGTTGAAAAACAGTGCAATGTGTGTATGTACCAGAGTCTGGACCATCTTGGTTCTCTGTTGTCTGAGTTTGAGGATGACTCCAGGGATGTCCACCACTCCCTCTGTCTCCCTCTGCTCCAGGACATGGTCTATGGCTATGAATGTCCCTGTCCTACCAACACCAGCACTGCAGAGGCGGGAACATATACCAGGGGTCATATTGCACAGGGTTTAGACTTTGACTTGGTCTACTGGCGGATCTCCCCAAGTATGACCGGCATTTATGCACAACACATGATAAACACTTGGGAATATTGCAATGTTATAGGAAAGGAAAACTGAGGTCCCATGCCAGTTGTATGTAACTGCAAATGCATAGAAAAACGATGTGTTTATGCCAACGTAATACACCAGCACCACTATAATAATTATGTGCAACACAGCAATGTCACATTGAACTGAAAAAGAGAGTAAAGTCATCATCTCCTAAAAGCTGTATTCCAGTACCAGTACACCTCACCTACAGTGCACTAGTAGAGGACCTCTGTGGGCCTTGTGGTCTTTCATAACCATCTTATGGAAGTTGAGTATGGAGGTGGCATAGTCAGGTACTCCGTGGTCTGGCCAGGGTGTGTAGTGGAAATGATTCACCTTCCTCGTCTTCCCTGAGAGCTGCAGACAGCAGAGATACTTCAAGTGGGGTATAGGGATGGTATAGAAACACCAAATGGGACGAAATTAGGTGGTTACACAGGAACAAAAAAGTACATCTTATTGGCAGGAGAAGGATACAGGGAGTGTGTATGTGTGCCTGTATTTCCAAGTTGGTTCAGGCCTCTCTGTTTCTCTTGCACTACATACATAATAATCTTATGCTATGGGGTATCAAATTTACTGCTCTATAGTACTAGACTTTGCCAGTAACTAACTGATCTACTGCTTGTGCAAAGTGTGGACCCAGTACTCTGTCCCTAATACCTCAACACTGAGTGTTCTGATGGTGTAGTCAGCGAGGGTGAGTTGGTGAGTGATTGATACGTGGAACGGCCCGAAATCCTGAGACCCAGAGGACGGCCAGTACTGCTCACACTTCCCCTCACCAGGTTGGTGATCATCACCACTGACGTCACTTCTCCTGCCACACCATCCTCCAGAAGTCTACTATACTACTGGGGATTGGCCCTGGGTGGGTAGAATTTTAGTCATGATAAGCTTAGGAGTTTCATGATCCGCTACATCTATACACACACAAATCCAACTGAAAATTGGTTAGTAGCTACACAAGAGTAGTAACTGAACTTAAAACACTAACAAAATGTATTTATACCTTGGGCCGCTATAAATTTCTTTGATTTGGTGTACCCCTAAGAGAGGGGAAAATGACAAATAATAATTATTATGTGCTTTGCAGCACATGTAGGGACTTACATCCACATGACTTGCATTGATGTAATCATTAATGAGGTCACCTAGTGGGCTCAGGATCACACAATTATCATCATCTGCTCATCACACACAACACAAAATACACCACCAATTCTTTTAAAGTTCTAAGTGTGTCAACTTACACACTGAAATGTTGTCGTCTAGCAAGATGTGGCAAGAGCTGCCGTACACACTTGCAATGCAAAATACGCGAGGATATGGCTACCACAGCCTGGTGAGCATACTCCTTGCCTGTAGAGGTGAGTACGTACCTGTCCACATGTATTAGCGTGTTGTCTTTCGCAAGGCTGAAAATGTGTGTGCTTGCCATACACTGCTCCTTCTTTTGCCACTGGGCAGACGTCTTGCAAGCGTAGGACGTCCCATCTCCCTCATCTGCTACGCGCTGAGACTCCATTTTGAGCCAGAATCATTCAACTGCTGTCACGCCCCTATAATAACTCTCCACTCGCGCGCATGCGCTTCTGTGCTAGAAAGTGCTACATACAACTTATTGACACTACAATTGATTATATACACGCATGCAAAGACACTAAGAAACAAAATTTGAGTATGTTTCAAACGAGTCAATGAATACCAAAAGAGCTTCAAAAATCGACTGATACTGCTCCTGTAAGTTGAAGTAAATTAAAATGTAGAAAAACAATCAATCATACCAAAGTTTGTATGGCTCCAGGTTTCTGAACTCTCATGGCCTTGGCCACCTGGAACACATCCACCACCCAATGTATGGGCATAATGCAGGACAACCTGTGTCATCCCTATATACTAAGTACTACCGTATTTAGTGATGAACCCTCGGCGAACTGCGCATGCGCAGTATGGCTAACTTTCAAGGGTAAACTTAACCCTTGGCCTTAGTAAGGGTGAACTTTACCTCCAACCGATCCGAAGCGGTTGGCGACTGGTTGTCGGTCCGCACACGCACGCGCACACCTGACATGGATTACCGGGAGAACGTGGATCCAGGCTTCAGTAAAAATGCGCATACCGGCATCGCCTCGTGCGCATGGCCAGCTCTGGGCATTGCAGCCATGTCCGAAGCGAGGACTTAAACTGAGAGCTATTACTACAGGTGGTGGAGAAGGGTGAAGTTTACTTCGTTGTGACTTTTTGTGCCTTCAAGATGCACAGAGCAGGCGGACCCGCCGGTAGGGGTGCGGAAATTATGCCGGGCATAATTTGGGAATTTTTTGGGGCTGCTCGAATCCGAGAATATTCCAGGAATAATTTCTATACTAGGAAGGCGCACGCGCATATTTTGCCTCGCTAGTCGCGCCAATGTCCGATTGAGGCCGCTCGTGCGCGCGCTCTACTGACTGCGCGCGAAGCCAGACTTCCTACGAATCTGCGCGCACGGCGGAAGCTAGACTTCCTACGAATGACAGAAGTTACACTTCCTTTTGGTGACTAATTGACATTCCTAAGCGTGACTAATTGACGACGTACATACGCCAATTATGTACTGTGTTCAAAATTTCAAGCATAATTTGGTAAAAATAGGAGCATAAATTGCACATAATGGAAGAATCCAGGAGTAGAATAAAATTCAAATATTTGAGCATAATTTCCTCAGCCCTACCCGCCGGTCGCGGTCGCGCCGGTGCTAATTAACCCTCGGCGCGCATGCGCAGCGAGGGTTACTTAGTTTTTACCCTCGGCGCGCATGCGCAGCGAGGGTACACACCCTCGGCGCGCACGCGCAGCGGGAGAGTTACTTGGTGGTGGTCTGTTCGTCTCTGTCTGTGACCGCCACCACGCGCAACAAACAGGTAAAATAGCGACACCAACGGGTTCGGCTTCATTTTAAGCAGGACATTGTTGGCTGTAAGATCACGGTGGATGATGGCAGGTTTCTTCTGATGAAGGTGTTGCAGTCCTTTTGCAACATGAAGCAACATTCGGAATTTTTTATCCAAGGTAATCAAACCTTCTTTTAGGTATTCAGTTAGGTTTTTGTCCATTCTTTCCATTACAATGACCTGGTTGTCTCCATCTCCTTTTAATCTGCACACTCCACAGTAAGGCACGATATTGGGATGGCTGATTAGTAAGGGGATTTGGACCTCCTGAATAAAAGCCTTGAGCCTCTTATGCAAATTAATTAGTTCTTCCTTTTTTGATATTTTGTACTTCTTGGCTGCATATATGTTTCCCTTGTATGAAACCTCGCATACTTCACCATAAGCACCTTCACCTAGTGATACACCAGTTGGTTCAACTGTGGTGTTTGGAAGATATGAACAATCTCCTTCTCCTGTTAGAAAAACACATAGATGCATTGCTGGGATATGTTTACTACTGTATTGTACTACTCGCTACACACACATAACAATGAATGTGGTTTGAGCCTATTATACCAGGAAAATTTCTTCCTTTCATTCATGGCCCTATATAGCTATGTTTCCCTGTATTTTTGGGGTAGGATTAAGAATGTTCTCCACTAAACCCACGTTTGCTAACGAAACACAAATATTAATATACCCCTAGATGACTTTCTCGTTTTGGTGGCAAAGAAGAATCCTTTGCAGATCGTTATAAAGTATTATTCACAATTTTCAAACTGCATTTTCTCCCCAATTATATATTGCAATTATGGTGATGGCAAGATAAACGATTGACAAGTAAATACCAGGATTGCCTTGAGGCCTTGACGAAGGAGGTGTTGGTCCAGGTGAACCAATTGCTGAATCTGAGTGTACACAATTAGGCATGCAATAAGTGCTACACACAGATCGTATTACTAACCAGGATTGTAGCTGCTTCCTGTAGCCAATGATGAGGATCTACTAGAATCTGTACCAGTGCCAGATTGGTATTGAAAAGAAGACACAGGTGGAGACATCACTGTATAGTAGAGTTACAAACCAGAGAGTATGCAGAGTACATTTACTTTGAGACTTACAGGAAGCAAAACGATGATACATAGGCAGAGTGGCATCATCAGAATTAGCAATAGCAGCAGACTTGGATTGAGGGAAGGCAGACACAGGCACTGCAGATAAAAGACAGCCTCAAATGTGCATGGCTAATTAACACTCATGATGAACCTTACAAAATTTAGTATTGATCTCTTTAACATGAACCAGCTTCATCGCCCTGGATCTTGCATTGTCTGCAATAACAGAAGATATAAAGGGATGCAGGGATACAGTGTCATGAAATATATACGGCACAGATATGTATAGAGGGCAGTGAATATGTTGGTTTAGTCGGGTGATTTTAACCCCTCCACCCCACCCAACAAAGGAGGAAATGCACTGAATGGCGCTGAAAACAGAACACAAGTATTTATATATTCCTGGGAAGTGATGGAAGACGGGTACCATTAGTATAGCGCCGAGACCGGTTCGGAAGATTGTTTCTCATATTCTCCGATAGAATGTTCTCGCTCTTGCTCTCTTCTCTAGGCAGAGGTTGGTCCCTCACAAGTCTACCTGTCTTTTCCAACGGCGATCGAGATTCTAAATGTATATAACATGTGCACATTGATGTATAAGACTGGTATCCCTACTTCCTACCTTGTACTTTATCCGCCTAAGAGCTCCAAACTCTATAGTAATTGTGTGATTGGGACCATTTTTTTGAAATGGTACAATTTTTGTGAAATCCAATTTCAAAAGCGTTTGTGTTGGTTTATGGAACTCCCAATACTGCCAGCCAATTATTAACCTTCGGCACGCATGCGCAGTGACGGTTACTGTATTGTCGTGTGTGTCTGTCTGCAGACAGTCCGTTACTCCACACTTCTCACTTCACGAGCCATGAATCACTCTACAAACAATACCACGTATTCAGCGTCGGGTATAGGTCGAAAAATATGTGGAGTTTTCTCTGAAACTGCTGCATTCGAGACTTATGGCGTGAAACACGACCGAAAAAGCCAATATGCTAATTAGAATAGGCTTACCTCGAGCAGGTCTGCTTGCTCTGTGTATCTTAAGGCACAAGAAGCCACAGCGAAGGGCATGTATCGCGTTCCGTATGCTATCTACTGCTGTAGCTAGCCCGTGTCAGACTCTCCGCGAGCTACTAGCGTGGGTAAACGCATAAGCCCAGCCCATCTATTATCGGTACCGCGCATGCGCAGTTCGCCGAGGGTTTGCACTTTTCATTGTGTAAGCAGTGGTATATAAACGTACTGAAGTGGCATATACATACCTATTCCACTGTGTGTTCCTAACTGAAATGAAGTTGTGGGAGTGAACCTTGCACTGAAGAGCTGTTTTAGCATTGGTTCAACTGACAAAACAGAGCAGCTTCACTTGATGATGTACATAAACCATAATATACATACATTACCACGATCAGGAAGGTTAGCCCTCCACTCATCTGTCAACATAATTAAGAGTGTTCATGGGGAAAAGGTAATAATTATACATACATGTTGAAAGGTCCAAACCAGGTCCTTGTAAAAGATATCAGAATCATCAGGATGAAACTTCAACACCTCGATCTGAAATATGTCCTACAGCGGCACATGAAACATTTGACACAGCCACAAGAGATGCGTGTTCATCGATGGGATTCCACAATTGCCATACCAGATAATTGTGCAAGGAATTAAAGGTTTAATGCAACGTTAGGCCAGGAGATACCTAACAGATGCAATGGCAAGTCAAGGCTACTAGCTGTGAACATTTCCACAGTATCAGACAAAGTAGCAGAAGGGATCGAGTACAAAAATAAATGCAACCACACAATTTAGAGAGCTGGGACAAACACCTACCAACTTGAGAACCTGTTCTCACTTAGGAAGCGCAGTGGAGATGGCCTCTCCCATTAAAAATTTCGTAAGAAAATTTCTGCTGCAGTTCTTCGTCCACCTGCCAGTTCAATACGATTCCAACAGGTATAGCACTAAACCAAGATGTGGGGACAGGTCAGTCCCACATCTTTGTTTATAGTGGCTTTCTTTGTTTTAGTGCCTATAACCCAATCTTTGTTTATTGCACATCTTTATTTAGTGACTAGCTTACTGTTGGGTTATAAATGTTCCCCTGTCGGAATCACATTCTCAAAGCGACTTATGAATCTTACCATTGGGCCGACAATGTTCGTTGGAGAAAATTAGCACAGCTACGTTTCTGTAGCTTGAGCTATCCCAATCAGATTCTCTGTCTGTAAATGTAATTCTGATGTAATTAACCACAGAACAGCCAGGATCGACTCACACTGATATGCACCTCAGGGCTATAAGGATTGCAGACAACACAGATCCTGACAGAAGTCTGTATCAGGACATACTTAATCTTCTCCTGCTCTCCTGGACCAAGACTCTAATTGTCTAGCTGATCGGGTAGAGTTGGAACCTATTATTGAAACCTTTTTGGCATTTAGGATATCAACATGTTCTAACCAAGAGAATAGATTCCACCTGCAAGAGGCCGTATGATCCATAATGTACCATAGAGTTCTAACAGAGTTTGCAAACAACTCTCTCAGGTCAGGATGAGTTGTAGCCCGCTGTACGCCGCAATGTTTTCCACAAGCAACTGTAAGTGGTCCTGTTGGGCTTGGATCACAGCTGCTCTGCTAGACATATTATCAATGTAGCTATGGATGGACAATTAAAAGAAATAGCTCACGGTCCTCCAAGAATCTCAAGCAGCTTTCGTGTAATAGTATTCATCTGTCTGACAGAGGTAATAATGACCGATGATCGCTTTATCACATGCAGGGTATCCTCAAAAGTGCATTCGGATGCACTGAGAGTGGCTTTACCCCTGCCAGTGTCTTCACGAGGTTTGGACTGCTTAAGAGCAGGTGAAATGTCTCGATGTGGTCACCAATGATTGTGAATCCAAGAGCTGGCAGTGTATCCTATACCATTAATACAGTATGCACAATATGCGAAAATGCACACAATGTTCTTTTGGGACATTTTGATCTGTACTTGTATTTATGCACTCGTGAACTCATAATGGCAAGGAGTGAGAGACTTACAGAACAGAAGTAGTTGATATTAGCTCCGCTGTCAAGAAGTAATTTGACCATAGCATTGAGACCCTTGGCAGCTGCCTGGGCTAGTGGAGTCAGCTCCACTATACCATCCAGTGCTCCTGACTGGAACTAATAGAGGGAAAACTCACTCAATTACAAATAAATATAATTTTGTTGCTTTCACTAAATTTACTAAAGCTCCCTTTTGAATGAGTTTTGAAGCAGTTGCTTCTACGGCTACAAAAAGGGGGCTTATGCCTTCCTGTATACACATGACATAAAAGTGGGTTATCGTGACATTCATGTACTCACAGATGTACACTTGTTCACATCAGCTCCTTCATTAATGAGTACTTGTGCCAAGTACCAGTGGTTCTTTTTACAGGCTTGAAGAAGTGCAGTGTAGCCATCCTATAATACATAACAATTTACATACATCCTCTAAACATCCATAAAATACCTGGGCAGTTGCATTCACATCTGCTTTACATTTTAGCAATGCATTAACTAGTCCCATGTGTCCCTGAGCACTGGCTTCCACCAGAGGACGATGCCTCCCCTGAGCCAAACCATACACATGATACAGCACATGTTACCACATGCTGATAGTCACACTTCAACTGGCTAACATTTTTGCAGCCATTTGGGTTGGCACCATACTTCAAGAGCAGCTCAGCTGAGGCGAAGGCTCCACACTTACAGGCAGTAGAGAGAGGGGAACACCCTGTGTCCTAGCAGTTGTAGTATAGAGGACAAAGGTTAGAATAACATGCTTATCTCTATAGGGGGACACCCCTAATGCAGGTACACTGCTATCTGTAACCTCAGTGTGTTTACCTTGGATTCCACTTAACTGCTGGCTCAAGTTTTTTTCTGTACTCTTTCGTTTGGTCACTCTAGAATATATTGGTGTTTATCAGTGTCTCGTGTAGTCAAACAAGCTTCTCCTCTCTAAAAGAAAGTGAGGCTTTCTTTTTGTAGCTTGTTTTTTCATTAATTTTACCTTTTTCTTAACTTGACTCTGTTCCATTGTAAATGAGTAATTGCACTATTTTCTCTTTATTTTGTAAGCGAGGCAGAGAATCAATGGAGTATCTTCCATCTTAAAAAACGATGAGCTCAGTGATACCTCTCATTGTTATCATTCACTAAAATGATATTTATCTATACAAATGCCACATTGTACACGCAATATTCCATTACATCTCTTTCGTACCTCACTGCGGCATCCAAAAGAGTTCCCTCTCATTATAAGAGCTTCATCTTTTCCCCCATCCTGTCCCAGACACGCTTTGACCATAGCAATCCCCCTTGTCCTAATATATTTGACACCAACTAGTATGATGGTACATAATTAGCTGAACATACCCATTGGCTGACTTTCACAGAATTGGTTGACTAGTATTCTTAGTAACCCATGACCAACTGTAAAGGAACAAAACCTTACAGTTGAAATAGTATATAAAAAAAAAAATACAATCACTGTAACCCACATTGAATTGAGAAGGCCCACTACGTCTACCTCAAGTCCGCACAGTCTGTCATTACCACCCACACCCCTCATGAACATTTGTCTCCTAGACGACGGGAGGTCTTCCCCTCCAGCTCGGCTATGGCGCGAAACTCCACCTCGAGTTAAGCCCAGTTGACTGCCAGTCTAACCCAGTTTCTGACCCATGCTGTATCACGTCATATACACACGACGTGAGGTTCGCAAGCGGCCTGGGGAATTTTAGTGCACACAAATAGACAGGAGAAAACCGGTACATAAAATTTTTATACAGTGTGCCACCTCTGTATCATTATCTATAATATTATATCACACAAGTCAGGATGGTATTAACATTTCCCATCTGTAGCCAACACTGTAAGACTCGACTGAGTGGCAGCCCCTTGTTGACATATGCAGAATGTCGACACATGCCACATGTGGTGTATTACCGTCCAGTAGGTAAGAGTCTGGCTGAGTATCGCCAGTGTGTCCAGAGTGAGCAGATAGAGCTGACACCTAGCTTGTGAATGAACTCTGTGCTGAGAAAGCAATCTGTGATGATCTCTTGAGATCTGTGAGAGTGCCACTCGTTGCTCAGGACACCCAGCTTCTCTGTACAGCATGGCTGCGTCTCCTTCAGGTAGGTTTGTGACGATAAGCGACCCTCGTGTGTAAAACTGCCAGTACTACGGAACAAGACAACTGCTTGAAAACATTACGTTAACTGATCACACAGCTCAGTATCACGCACTCACTGCGTCATACTGCAAAGCTGCACAGACCCTGCTTCAGTACACCAGATAACAGTATTTATAGAGTAGTAGTCGTACATCCAGCCAATTG